GTTCTCTTTGCTCTTCCTTAAATAGGCTAGGGCCGTATCTGTCTCAGAGCCTTTGAACTCTTTGCTGCTCTCCCAAATACACAGAACTTGCTTCCAGACCTCCAGTCGCTGTTCAAATGGCCCTTTTTGGTGAGCTCTTTCTTAACCATCCTATTTGAAACAGTAATACCCATGGCCTGGCATTCCCTCTTTCCTCTGTTTTTTTCTCCGTAGCACGTATCTATCCTACAGCTGTTTGTTATTTACCGTTTTTGTATAAAGAGAAAAAGTATTGACCAAGACGAGCCCCGACCATAAAGAACGTGGGAAATAATTCTCTACATAACCCTCTCATCCTGTTCAGAGGCTTGCCGCCTCCTCTGGAGGCTGATACGCCCGGGGATGACGCTGAATCTCGGGCAGCGGAGACGTACGTAGAGCTCCCCCGGGCCAACACCTTGCCCGGGAGAAACGGGGCGTCTCGTCCACGGCTGCCTGGCTGGAGGACGAGGCGGGCACTCGCAGCCTCGGGCCGGGCCGCCTCCCCGGCGGAAGTGGCGGGCGGAGCCGGGCTCTCCTTCCAGCCGCTGACGGGACTCACGCGGGCGGGGGGGAAGGGTGGGCAGGGCGGCGGCGGAGACCCTTCCTCCGCAGGGGACGCGGAAAGACGCGGCGGCTCCGGCAGAACCCCCGGAAGTCGAAGCCCTTGCTTCCGAGGGGACGGCTTCGTGGGGCGGACCGGGGACGCGGCGGTGAGTCCTCCCGGCGCGCTGGCGTCCGTGGCCCCGATTTCCCAGTCCTGCCTGTGGCTCCCCGCGCCCTTGTTTCTCCCGCGCGCCCTCGGCCCGGCCCCGGGAGCGCAGCCGGACCGGGGCCGACTCTCCCTTCTTGGGGGGGGTGTGCAGTCCAGCGGCGGTTCCTCATCGCGATCCGCCCGCGCTCACCAAAGTGGTGACAAGGGCTGAGAAGGAGCTCCGAGAACAGGGAGCTAGTCCTGCGGCTCTGGGCGCGCTGCTAAATGGACTCTTAGGGGCGAGCTGAGGGAGGGGAGATTGAGTCGGGAGAACTGGCTGTCCCCCGGAGTCGGAGACGAGGGGGAACGTGGGAGACTGGAGGCTGAACAGGCCTTTGCGGCGGTGGCGGGAGGAGCGCGGTCTGGGGGCGGGTGCGCTAGGCAGCAGGAGAGGGAGGCAGGGCCCGGGTCCTACCTTGGAACGCCTTGACTTAAAGGGGCTTTATCGTAAGAGCAGCAGAAGGGAAATTTTGGTTATTTTGAAGGGATTACTTTGACCCCCCAGGTGGAGGCTGGATGATAGAAGGGCAGGAATTGCTACGGAACAAATGTTCCTGTGCCCCAGGCACAGTGAGGCCAAATAAATGGAAAGGAGTTTGGAGCAGAGAATGATTTATTGCAGGGCCAAGCAAGAAGGGGTGGCTCATGCCTGAAAAACCTGAACTCCCTGGTGGCTTTTGTAAAGAAGTTTAGAAGTTTTTAAAGGCAAAATCTGGGATGAGGGCTGCAGGGTGTGTGACTTTCTTCTGATTGGCAGGTGATGAGGTAATGTGGCAGAGTTCCGGGAATCGGGTGTTCAGCCTTGAGTTGCCTTCCTCC